AAACGAAGTGAAGCCAAGTATTTAATATTATAGTTTTGACTTGACATTTCAGAATGTTCCTTTTCAAGGGAAAATATTAGCTAGAGACTTATTTTCAGCGTTTTAGCATGGCACGTGAACTTCTGGTACCAGTGCCCATGACATGAGGAAGTTCAGAGGCAGAGGCAATAGGTCAGCGATGAGAGTCAAGGAAGTATGAATGACATCATCACCCCTAAGCACTCTCTCAGAAGATGAATGAGCTCTCTTTTGTATTACAATGCTAAAGAGCATTAGAAGGTGATATGATATTGAGACAACACATAAGATAAATGCTTCGCAGTTTGCTAGAACAGCTTTTTTTGCCAGAACATAAATCCTTTGGTGGACTCGGGAATACAGCGTGTGGTTGATGTGCATCGTGTACAGTGGACAGCTCCTTCGTGACAAAATTCATTTAGTTTCAACAAATCCCTCGAACGTTTCTTGACTTATTTAGATCCAGCATTTTTTACAACCCTAAAAATACTAAGTATTCAGAGCTCAGTTAAGCCCACAGTCCGCATTGGACGACATGCTGTATTCTTTTTTACTACTCACAACATTATACGTGAGCAAAAATCAACAAGAACGGGAAGGCCGTTGTCTTTAAAAGTGGCACAAAATATAGCCATCATGATGAAATGCAATCCCGGTGAACCATCCATGGAAAACATTTTTCATTCGGCAGACAAGTGGTGCAGCAGACAAAGCACTCGGCTTTTAAATATGAGATTATAATTCAGTTTCAAGTAAGTTTTCTGGTCTTGATGTATACCTAGTGGAAAGTTACATCACAAATGGAGAAAATGAAGTTGGACAATTGCTGTAGTATTCACTCTAGATGAATTCTGCCAGAAGTGGATTTAGTTTGAATCTAATTCTCAGGGCTCCCAAAGCAGAGACCTTCTGGTACAATAATCATTTCCGTCCTTCAGTTCCATTGGACATGCAGCATCACGACAGACTTTGTTTCCAGGCTTCACCCACTGCTGCTGTTCGCATTTGAAAACACCCACTAATATTTTAAAGAAGAAAAACAGCTGAAAATGCCTTCAGTTCTGCCAAAAGTACTGAAGAGCATTTTTGTTTCACGAATTAAGGGGAAAATGCATTTACATAGTCCCACAACAGAAATCAGACTGCAATTTGGGTGTGAAAGGGGTTAGATAACAGAGCTGCATGCAGTGGTCTCCCATAATGAATTTAAATATCAACTCTGCCTTTGTTATTTTTTAACAATCAGTTATTTATTATTTTTCTTAAACAAAAATTGTGCTCCCCCCCCCCCCCC